TTTTTTTTTTTGCCACTTGAATTATTTCCAGGTTCTAGAAGAGGCAAACATTGGTTGGGGCTGATGTTTGAGACCAAAGTCCCTGCAGCACATAGCTAAAGTCTGATGGTTCTGGGTGCACAGAAACTGCAAAGAAGAGTCCACTGAGGCAAAGGGGCGTCCTCAGCATCTCACTAAGGCGAGTTACGTCTTAATTTCCTTTCTGTGCACTGTTTATTAGCTTTGGAGAGTGGAGGGAGCAAGGTTCCAGGAGGATTCGTGGATATTTTGTGATAAAGACACTAACATGTCCTCAGGATAGTGGAGTAAGATTGCCTTCTAGGTTGGTGCTAGAACATGACCAAGTCAAAAGTGCCCAATGAACAGTGGCCTGTCTGAGGTCCACTTGTGTGCAGTAGGGCAGCGTGGTGTCGACACAGCCTGTTGCTCCCTGCTGCTTTGTCGATGTGTTTTACTCTGATGCACTGTATTGTTGCTGCTGCTGTAGTGAGTCCGTCTTTGTTTCAGACATGCGTTGCTTTTGCTTTTTCCAGACGTGTAGTAAGTAGTGTTGTCAGCAGTAGTTGTGTAAAGTCAATGTGCTAGTGTACTACTGGACATATTTGCTTCTGTAATTCCGAGGAGGTGTTTGTGTCCTTTACCCTTTCTGAGAAAGGCAGAGCAGCTGCTTCTTCACCTGTTCTTAACTTGATAGTAGAAGTTTTCACATTTTTCTAGAATGGGCATCTCAAAGCTTTTTATCCTTCCAGAAAGATAAATTGATAAGAACATAGGGATACCACTGTAACACATTTTTTATTGCAAGTTGGTATATTAGAATTGGAAAAGTAGAAATAAACTTCAGTTTCATGTAGCTCTGCTTTGGTTTTGAACTGTTCCCACTCTGATATTGTTTATATTTTCACTAGAAAATTTCCAAGTGTATCATCCACCAGTGCCCCTTACTCAGTGGACAGCTGCATTTTCTGGGCTGCTGCTGAGGTGCCCTGGCTTAGGGGTTCTTTGCTTTTCAGCCTTTGTAGGAGTGGCCCAGACTGACTTGGGTCACCTGATGGAGAAATGTGCAGAGGAGGATGTGGTGGGACTGAGCAGTAGGTACAGGAGCGGTGTCCCGTGTTTAGTATTCATTGTTAAAGCACAGAGCATCACTGTCCCTGCGTGACACTGACAGCTTATGGGTGGTCTTGAGTTGTCACACCTTACCATGTGGCAGGTGTCCCCAGGCCCTGGGTCTGAGCTCTGTGCACAACACTCTGAGGGGTTCAAGGGTCCACAGTTCTTTGACATGTGACCTGCCCATCAGGATGGGCTGCTATCCTTGCTTATGACTTTATTCATGTAAAAGTAAAGAAAGGTGTTTGGCCCTTGATGTGACTCACTGTGGCGACTTGTGGGTAAGGTCCGGAGCTGGTGCCTGTTGCAGAAGGCATGGAATGGCTCTGGTGATAGTGAACCCCAGGCTCCACACTTGCTGACAGTGGTGCCCTGCGAGGCACGGATCTAGGGCATGTGTAGATATTTGGCAGGTATGCAGTCTGCTGGTTTGTCTGTTGCTGGTTGATGTCTCCTATGTGGAAGGACCTGTTTGGGGTCCAGAATGTCCATAACACAGAAGAAAAACCATCTTTTGAGGCTGCAGATTCTTCCATCTGGCTGTGAGCGAGAGGTGTAACTGCTGAAGTGAATAGACTCCAAGGGAGACCTTTTATATCTGCAGCTCGCTTTGCAGTCAGCAGCCCAGCCCCTCTGCAGCTTCACTGGGAGACTTAACTGGCATTTGGAGCGTCAGAGAAGACAACCGTAGAGTGCAGTTGTGACTGCCAGGAGTGGTGCGGGCAGACCTCCAGGCTGTGCCCTCACCCTCCTGCAAGCATCTGAGGCTCTTCTCACACAGGGTTGCCTCCCTCCTGGGGACTGGGCGTCTGACAGGGCGATCCTTTCACAGCTGGCTTTTGTGTGGGAAGCAAGCTGACCTCTCAGTGCGGACTGTGGTATGGAGGGTCATGGGGGGCGGGGAGGTGCTGATGGCCAGAGTGGCGAGGGCTGTCTGCACACAGACCTGTGGTCTCTGAGTGACCGGCCAGTGTCTAGCGTCCAGTTAGAAATCTTGATTAGTGATGTGTATAAGATTCAAACCAAAGTCACCAGCGCCTCAAAGAGAAGGAGGTATCCAGAGCTTCGAGGATTCCACCTGCAGGGCCTATCTTGCTTTCCAGTGGAGTTACGGAGTTCATTGCCCCAATTTTCTGTCACTACGGTGTTCAACTCACCAGGTGGACTGTGCCCCTGTAGCCACTTCATGCAAATGTCCGGCATTGAGATCTGACTTCTTACAGCTGCCTGTCAGTGACTGGAGACAAATGTTAATATTTCTAGATTTGTACATGTTGGACTGGGAAGGGATAGGGATTAAGTGGAGGACAAGGAGGAGACCCAGGCCTGATGTGGCCATAAAATGTGTCAGCTGGATCAGTACTTTCCTCCCTCGTGCTCCCCTGTGGGACGGCGCTGGCAGCTGACCAGGAGAAGGTGATGACAAACAGTGAGGTCTGAATTACCTTAGTGAAGCAGCACAGAAAGAGCATACGTGGCTCCCTGCAGTAACACTTGCAATATCAAAGCAGACTGGTGTGACATGGGGGACCACACTGGAAGTCAGAACACAGCCCCCCAGAATACCTGGACAGCAGGGCATGACAGCTCTGTCATGAAGATCACCTTGTGTCCCAGAAGCCCAGGTGTTACCTGTATGCTGTCGCTCTCTATATAATTTGCCACCTTGAACTGCAAGTTGAATGAAGGTAAAAGATAGCTCACAGAATCAACTAGAAACCCTGGCCACTGCCAGTGCACACCTTCCTGTGCGCCATCGTCCTCCAGCAGCCCCGAAGGGCGGGTCCTAGGGCGGGGCGCAGCTTTTCCCCAGACCCCGTCAGCTACTGTCTGCACCTGGGTCCTGTGAGTGTCCTGGACCCCAAGGCCCACTGCTGCCCTGGCTAACTAAGCTGTGCACACAGCAGCCCCGGGTGATCCTGTGACACTGGGGACTTCTGACTCAGACCCCTGAGGTGGCCTCCTGGGACCTCACTTCCTGCCTCCTTCCCCTTCAGCAGCTGCCATGTGGGCACCCACTCCCACTGTCCAGGGCCTTTGTTCTGAGCTATGTGTTCACCACCCCATGGCGTGTGTCTTGCATGTCCCTCCCCAGCCCAACCTATTTGAAATAACATTCTCTCCCGTTGTTCACCTGACCATCAGCTTCAAGACATGACAAGTGTCTGCACCAGTGTGATTATAAGATCTTCATGTAAAGAATGACAGTATTATTGGCCATAAATTTAGGGACAATTCCCAAACTTTCCCATACCTGGGCTACAGCTATAGGAGTATACCTCTTTCTACCAACACTTGTATCCCATGAAATCTGACATGGATGGAAGAGGGCTTTGTACATGCTAAGCACATGCTGTTCCTCTGAGCTACACGGCAGCCTCAGGTCCCGATATTTTTTAACAGTGTTTAGCAGGTATATGGAGCTGGGCAGTGCAGACCTGGAGGCAGATAATGCCAAAGCCCTGCAGGGCTGAGCTGTTAGGGGAACAGGAATCCCTTCTGTTGGTGTGTCTGGGGGCTGGATCCTCCCAGGGTCAGTCTCCAAAGCCAAGACATCTCTGAGGTAAACCTCAGGGGCTGCAGCTGCTCAGGCATCCTTCCTGTGAGACAGCAGGAGGGCTCCCCTTGTCAGAAAGGCAGGCGGGACCCAAGGTGGGGAAACAACCTTCACAGACAGAGGCCAGACTGAAGCACTGCAGGGACTGACACGTGGACTTGGGCGGGGCTGCCTGGTGGGTGGGTCTAGGCAGGAGGCCAGGGCATTGAGAGAAGCCTGTGTCCACACTGTCCCAGCACCACAGCCTGATGCAGCCGTCCACAGACCAGGCCCACAGGGACGCAGCTGAGGATGCCCGGTGGTCCAGGTGGGGCAGGGAGGAGGGCACAGGGTCATGGCGGGATGGAATGGGGGGTGGAGTATTTGGGGAGGGAGCTGAGGCACTGCCGTTTGGTGGGCAGCTCAGCTGAGAGCAGGGCCCTGGAGGTGCTGCCCTGCCTGCTCTGCAGCGGCCACCTTCGCTCCCTGAGGCTGGCTCACTCGTGGCAGAGTCAGTCCCTGCGAGGAGGGACACATTTGAGCCGGCAGGGAACCCTTCTCTCACCACCAAGCCCCAAGGCCTGGAAAGTTTCCCCTGAATTCTACTCCCAGCTGGTGGACCCTGGGAGTCTCAGGCAGGGAGGTATCTTCAGGCCTGGCAGGGCTGCCCCACAGCGATTGAGGGTCACCCATAGACAGACCCTGGAGAATCAGACTGGGATAGGTACACAGCTGCCTCCCTAAATGGGGGTGAACCTGGCAGCTCAGCCACCCTGTTTGGATTTTGTTTCCACCATCCCTACTGCCCCATAGGCAGGTGATGCCCACAGAAGCCAGGAATGAGCCGACAGGGGTCCAAGTGGGAGCCTCCACCCCACTCTGTAAGCTAGGTCCCTCCACCAAGGTGCTGAGCCAGAGGCGGGGTCTGAATTCCTGAACCAACCAAGTCCCCAGAGAACCTGCCTTGGAGGTACTGGGAGGAGGAGGACTAGGGCAGGCCCAAGGGATGGGGCCACCCTTGTGTGCTTGGCCAAATGAAGGCATGGCAGAAGCTTAAAGGAGCTGTGCGAGGACAGGGCCTTGGGAGAGGCAGAACCATAGGAATGTGGAGAACCACAAGTGCCAATTAAAGAGGAGGCCAGGCCTCGGGTGTGCCCAGATCAGAGAGCCTCCTGCCTACCTTATGTTTATCCAGGTGCCTCCGCCTGGCCTGGCTGGCTCCTGAGGTATGACCCAGGCCCTGCAGACGTTCTGCAAACTTCACTGCAGGTTGCAGTGTGATAGCTCCAGCTTTTACCATGTGACTTGCTCCTCTTGTCTTGGCAGAGTGGTTGCAGGAATTCTGGGGCCTTATGGGCTTGAGGACTCCACTGTGTATTTGTGGATTACAATCATGGCACAGGGACTCTCAGCCAGTGCGGCCTCCTCCAAGAGCCCAGTGTGGTTGGGAGGCAGGTCTCTCTGAATCACAGTGGCTGGGAGAGCTGGGACAGAATTTGGGAAAGGCTTGCTGCTCACTGATCCCTGGTGCTCATACGTGTCCCTTCTCTGAGTCGAGGACCACAGAACCACCTGTGTACTCAGCCCTGGATGCTTCTGAAGGCTGTTAGCAGGAAGCGGAAGGCTGCAGAAGGCTCACGGGAAGTGCCTCACTGCACAGAAAGTTGCAAATGGACAGTGGGTATTTTCAGGCACTTCTGCCTCAAGTAAGATGGGGCATTCTGGGGCTGGAGCCCAGGCTTACCTCAGGCAGCTGGCCTGTCTGTTGCCCCCTCCAGCCAGACTTCCTCACTCCACGTCCCCAAGCTGTGCAGGCTGTGTGTTTCTCTCCTGCCTCCAGAGCCCAGGGAGGAAGCAGGCCTGGCCTTAACTCATGGCTCCTGCTGGAGTTGCTGGCTTTGGTGCCCAGTGCCTTCATCAGGGTGTGCTGGTTGCCTGGTAGCTGTTGGCTTCTCTTGATGTCCTGTGCCCACCTAGGATGCCAGGCAGCACCATGCTCTCCGCACTGTGCCAGACTTTTGGAGGAGGTGGGACGCCCAGCTGACCTCAATGTTATTGACTGATCTCCTTCACAGAGAGCAGCAGGGCCAGGCCTTTGTACGTGCAGTTAGAAGGGGTGGCATCCTGGGAGGATCCCTGACCACTTTCTGGTGGTGACCCCTTTGCTGCTTTGACCATGTAAAGGAATAAAGCTCTTCTTTTCCTTCTTTCTGCCTTCCTTTATTTTCTTTCTTTCTTTTTCTTTCTTATGAGACAAGGCTTTGCTATACAGTTCAGGATGGCCTTGAATTCACTATGTAGCCCAGGCTGACCTCAGACTCCTGAGGATCCTCTTGCCTCAGCCTCCTGAGTGCTGGGATTGCAGGTGTGCACCACTGTGCTTGGCTAAAGCTCCTTTTAAAAGGCACCTTTGTACTATGTGCTTTGGGTGGTAATTTAATATTGTTGCTCTCCCACCCCTGCTGCAATCCTATGCATCAAGGTGGGGGCAGAGCAGACTTGTCTTGCACGTGTTGGCAGACAACTGGCCCAGGAAAGCTTTGGTGGCCAGGCAGGGCTTGCAGCAGGGCTGGGCAGGCTGGTGGCTGGTGGCAGTTTGGACTATCACCCTGTGTTCCCAGTAAATCAGCGGCCGTGTTTGCTCAGGATGATCTCCCAACAAGGATGGAAAACAGAAAGCAGGTGCAAGGTTTTATCAAGTTCCAGGATGGACTCCAGAGGAGACATGGGTGCCTGAGGCTGGGCAGTGCAGGCCATTCCTAGGGAGAAGTCCAGGGTCCCGTGTCACAGTCACACTGGAGAGGAAAGGCTCAGAAATCCAATTCCTGGTGGACTGAGAAAGAGGCAGCCTGGTCTTTAACACAAACATGCAGCCCCAGTTTAACTGTGGCTTTGCTGCTCTCCCCCATGGACCTCAGAATGACCGTGCCCACCTGGGTCCTCGCTGGCTGGCGACTCTCTACTCCTGCTTGACTACCCACCCAACACCTTCACCTGATATATAGTGATGACTGGCATTTGGGGACCCCGGTCTAGAGAGGCAGTGCTGAGCCCACTTCCTGTGTGGCATGGTCATGCTTGACCCTGAAGCAGGGAGCACTGAGCCTATGTGGGGTGGACTCAGAGCCCACTGCCTCTCCTGTGGATGGGGTCCCCAAGTGTGTGTTAGAGGACTCAGCTCTTCTTGGACCCATCAGCAGCCCACTCATCGGGCCTGGACAGTGCAGGCACCACCTCAGGGTGCGGTCAGAGCCCAGACCCCCAGGGTCTCTGATCTCCCTTGGCACGGGTTTCAGGGAAGGTACCAGCACTCCCAGGGTAGGGGTGGCCTCAGTCTGGACCATCCTTCCCACGCCAGCCCCACGGGAAGGCCGGGACCTGCCTGCATATCTACGCATCCAGGCCGCTCATTCCTCTGCCAGACACTCAGTGCTGCAGCACGCGCAAGCCTAGTACCTCCTTCTGGGGAGCATGGGATGTGACTCCAGGGCCCCACCACATCCACCACCTGTATCCAATGAGCCCTCCTCTGTCCTGACAGCCTGGCTCACATCTGCCTCCGCAGGGCCCCTCCCACCACACGGACTGTGCTGAATCTCCCCTTTTTTTTAATTAAAAAAACCGAGCTATGTGTTTCAGAATCACTGTGAAGACACTCGCTCCCGAGAGTCTGTGGGCCAAGCCCATCAGCGGCATTGGGGGAGGACTGGAGAACAGAAGGAAGGGAGGCACGGGCAGGGCGGAGGGGTGCTGGGCCCAGACTCGTGTCCTGCACTCAGCAGCCGGCACTTCAGGGAGGATCTCCTGAGCCTCTGTCCCACAGCTCCTGGAGCCCTGGCTGGGTTAGCTGCTTGTTAGCCCCTAAACTAGTTATTGCCCAGTTTTGTGCTGAGCTAGTTACTAGAGGGTGTGAACTGGCCATGGACTCAAGGTCAGAGCCACAGCAGAGCCCACAGCAGGCTACAGGTAGGCTGGGCAGCCGGAGGTGTTCCCGAGTGCTGCTCCCCAGGGGATTCCAGGACTTGTCCCAAAGGAAGTAGCCGCTCGTGAGCAGGAAGGGGCCAGCTGTCTGTGTCCTCTCTTAGCCCCTCTTCATTTCAAAGAGCAGTGTATGCTGGGGCACTGCGGGCTGCCGTCCTGACCACGCTCTCTCTGCAGTGTGGCTGGTGACCCGCACACATGCAGGCTGTGGGGCCCTGTGGCTAGGGGTCCGGAGACCGCCATGCCAGCCCCCCACCTCCTTCCCCTCCTGGGCGAATCAGCTACACTCCCTGCCCCCAGCCTACCCAAGACACCGCTATTGGGGAACAGGCAGAGAGACCTGTCCCAAGTCACTCCCAGAGTGGATGATCATTCACTCTGATGAGAGGTCTCTTTAACCACCACGTGGAAATGAGAGACTTTATTTTAAACAGCCCCAAGCTCCAAGCTCATGGAGCAGGAGGGTCCTAGGGAGCTGGGCTTCTTCACGTTGTTCACATTGTCGATTCACTTCCATCCCTTGGTCTTTCAGCAGCCACAGAGCAGCACAGTGAGCTATCCCTGCCTAGGTCCCTGCAAGGTCCCAACATCTGTAGCACTGTCGTGCACTCTCCTGGCCCCCAGTCACAACTGCCCTGAGGACCTCCACTGTGCAGGCTCGAAAGCTTTCCTGTGGGTCCCTGGGTCTCACCATGCCACCCCTGGACCCTCCTCCTATACCCACCTGATCCTGGCCACCTCAGGTCCACTGCCACCTCTCAGTGGTTGTGAGCTGTCCATTCTACCTGGCTGCCTTCCTGCGCCACTGTGACCCACAGGAAGTTTGGGAATGCAGGCACTGTCCTCAGGGTGGGACTGGCTGCAGTCCAGGCGTGCAAAGCACCTGCTCTGGCTGTGGAAACCTTGCATGTTCCGCAGTTCATCTAACCTGCCCCTACTGCAGGCTGTTCTGGCTATTTTCTGCCTTTGCTGTGTCCTGCCTTGTGTCTGCCTGTGCTCTCCCGGGAGTCACAAAACCTACATCAAAGGGCCCAATTCCTAGCCCTTGGCCTGTGAGTGAACATGTCTCTCGGCACCTGGGGCGGCCTCTCAGCCATCAGTGCTGCCCACGGGGCCCCTCCAGGACCTGACCCTCTCCTCTCTTCCACAGGCCTGAGTGCCAGGTGTGGACAGGGACACTGCTGCTGGGCACCTGCCTGCTGTACTGCGTGCGAGTTACCATGCCTGTCTGCGCCGTTGCCATGAGTCAAGATTTTGGCTGGGACAAGAAGGAGGCTGGCATGGTGCTCAGCAGCTTCTTCTGGGGCTACTGCCTGACGCAGGTTGTAGGAGGCCACCTTGGGGACCGGTAACTGCCTCCCCACATGCCATCGCCTGGCTCCAGGGGAGCACTCCCGGGGGCACCTCTCGGACAGGGTGGCCTAGCTGTGCTCCCTCACACAGGGAAGATGGTCTCGGTCAGAAAGGCGCCCTGTGTCCTGAGTAGCAGCTCTGGGTGTGGGCAGGGAGAGCCCCCAGGCAGACGGTGGACCAGCCCGGCTCCTCCTCTGCAGGGTGGGGTGTGACAGTGCTGGCCCAAAGGGCTGCTCTGTGCGAGGGTGGTGCCCTCTCCTGTCCCTTGCCTCCTCCAGCATTGGGGGTGAGAAGGTCATCCTGCTGTCAGCCACCACCTGGGGCTTCGTCACTGTTGCCACCCCGATGCTTGCTCACCTCAGCAACGCACGCCTGGTCTCCATGGCCTTCTCCCGCGTTCTCACAGGCCTGCTCCAAGGTAAGGGCCACTCAGTCACTTTCCTTGTGCTCCGGGGCACCAGACGGGGTAGACAAGGGCAGGGTGTGCACATGTGTGCCTGCGTGCTACCCTCTGCCCAGAAGTCTGCCTGGGGCACTGAGTAATATGGGGTGCCCCTCCATGTCTGCATGTTATCCACAGCACAGGGGACATCCTGGGACTTCCTGACCCTGTGGGCTGCCACAGACCCCCAGGGGTAGGTGGCTGACGGTGGCCCTTGAAGAGTGGCACCTCCTGCCTCCTCAGCAGGTGGAAAACACTTTGATGAAAGCTCTGGCAGAGACCCAGGCAGACACTTCCCAGTTTACCACCATGGAGAAAAGCACTGTAGAGTGCAGGATCGGTGCCCCATGGACGCGGACTGTGAGCTTCTTAGGTTCCTCTTCTCAGGCCTCAAGGGATCCCCAGAGCCTCTCTAGACTGGGATTCTAGAACCCTCTGGAATGGGGGACACGGGGTCATCTCCAAACTTTCAGGCTGCGGAGGAACCCATTGTCCAAAGGAAAGCCAGGAGGGAACTGATCTGGAAACTGCAGTTCCTGACTCCTCTCCCGGGAGGGGCGCGCACCTGGTGTGAGCACGTGGGTGTGTGCTATGCGAGGACGCCAGGCCCGGCTCAGAGGCTGATGTGCAGGGGCACCCATGCAGGCCTCTGGGTGCAGCCTGGGAGCTGCTACGCGGGGATGCCGGCTTGGGGCAGAAGTCTTTCTCACACTGTGGTGCCACCTGGCACGGCTGTCATCCAGACTGTTTGTTCCTCATTCGAAGCCCAGCCTGGCCGGTCCCTAGGGTTGGCCAGGCAATGTGAGGGGCTGTGGACACTGCTGGATCACAGCCCTAACCTGTGCAGGCGGTGGATCTCCGGGGCTCATTGGCCTTGTTGGGCGCTCAGTGGACTGTATGCTCTGTTCCTTGCAGGTGTGTACTTCCCTGCCCTGACCAGCCTGCTGTCGCAGCGTGTGCCGGAGGGCCAGCGGGCCTTCGCCTGCAGCATGGTGGGGGCCGGCTCTCAGTTTGGGTAAGGCTCAGCCTCGGAGGGCAAGGAAGCCCATGGGGTGTGGCCCCAAGGAGCAGCCTGCAGGGCCAGCAGGAGCAGAGTCTGGCCCCTCAGTCCTGGCTGCCTCCCCCTGGGCCTGTGCAGAGTATTTCTTCCAAGCAGATTTATCCTCTCGCTGTGGCTGGCAGGTGGTGCAGCCTGGGCCCAGCCACTTTGTGTAGTTTCCTTTTGTTTGTGCCAGTGGAGCCAGAGGCCATGCCTACCTCTGCTGCTCACCCCTCCCTGAGGATCTGCAGCCCCTGTGCCCCTGGGCCCCCCGACTCACCTTTCCTGAGTTCACCCTCAGGGGGTGCCAGACCCTCAGACTGTGGTGCCCCTCTCCGAGGGTGTGCTGGGCAGGAAGGCTGCCTGCTGGACTTGTGTGCGGGTCCAGGTGCTTCCTGATACCAGGCTCAGCCCTAAGTTTAGTTCAGCCAGGCAGGAATCAGAGGGCAGAGTGGCACCTGTGAGTGGGCTGGAGCGGCCCTCAGGCAGGAGTGGGGCGGCTCCATTTAGCAATAAAGTATGGCTCGCCCTGTGAAATGTAACTGTCAGACAAACGTGAGGGCTGAGCTCCGACGACAGAGCAGCCTGGCTCATCTGCTCTGCCCTCCCACTGGTGTCCTGTGGTTTGTCAGGTGGTGGAGTGGAGAAGCTTCTGTGTAGAGCACTGAGGGGCCAAGCTGGAGCCCAGCGCCCTGCTCTGGGTGCTGTGCTGCCCACCACCCCCCGATCCTGGGTGGGGAGGCCGGGGAAGAGGGAGGCGGTCTTGACACCCGCAGCCTGTGTCCTCTGTTTTTGTCGTGGGAGTACCTACTCCCTAGCCCTGCAGGCCTCGTGGGGTCTCGGCAGGTGGGGTACACTGGGAGGGACGATAGGACCCTCAGGATTTGGGAGGTTGGGGCTGTTGGGTTGGTGGTGGCAGCATTTTGCACATAGAGATCTTTCTGACATTTTGTCGCCTGTAATATAGGAAGCAAGAAACTCAGAGCGTGTAGGGTTCACTTCAGTGCTTTAAGTTGCATTTTCTTCTCATTGTGTTTTTTTGTTCAAAAAAATCTACATGCCAATTTGTGGGCCAGTCTGAAGGCTAGAAACAAGAAATTAAAAACGACTTGGGTCCCATAGCAGCTGTCCCTGCCCGCTGTCCCCAAAGCTCCCAACCCTCCCCACCACATCCCGCAGCCCCATGGTAGGAAAATCTCTCCTGAGCCCTGGGAATTCTTAGTAAAACAAGCGGGGATAGGGACTTCTGGTCAGCTGTTTCCAAGGCAATGAAGACGCTTTCCTCCCTGAGCTCCTTGCTGGTGGGGAGCAGGTGAGGGTCATGGCCTCCTCCTCCCTGTCCCTCTAGGACACTGGTGACGGGGGCTGTGGGTTCCCTCCTCCTGGACTGGTGCGGCTGGCAGAGTGTCTTTTACTTCTCGGGTGGCCTCGCCTTGCTCTGGGTGTGTTACGTGTACAGGTTCCTGCTGAATGAACAAGGTAACTGTGGCCAGCAGGTTGGTTCTGGGCCTCCTCCCCTCACAGCAGCCATTAAGCCAGAGTAGTCTGCACGGCCCTGGGGCTGTGGCTTTGGGCAGTTCCAAAGAACCCTAAAGCGCGCTCCAGAGCAGAACCATTCAGCCTTCCGATTCAGCCCACAGGTTCCCCTGCCAGGGACTAAGGCAGACACAGGAGACCTGCAGGCAAAGGTGAAGACGGGTGGCAGGAGCAGCTGAGAGCTCAGGTGGCCAAGAGGGGCTCATCCCAAGGGTGATGCTGACTGCTGGGGTAGTTTAGCAAGGGGCAGTGAGGTGCCGCACTCTGGAGGGCTCCCCTCCCCAGCAGCTGCTGTTGGGAGTAGCCAGGGGGCCTCCGGACCCTGAGAGCTGTTGCTCTGAACCACTTGTCCCTCAGACCTCATCCCAGCCCTGGGCGTCCTGGTGCAAGGCCCACCCTTGGCTGGGGCCCCCAAAGTGCCCTGGAGACAGCTCTTCTGGAAGCCTTCTGTCTGGTGAGCTGGGGCTGGAGTGGCTGAGTGAGCATGGAGCCTCACGGGCATGGACTTTGGTGCCCAAGGGCAAGGGTGGGAAGGTGGCATAGGGAGGGTGCCTGGGGCAGGTAGAGCCCTGAGCCTGGTGCCCCACGCAGGGCGGCCATCTGCTCACAGCTGTCTTCGGCATGTGCCTTCTTCATCCTCTTGTCCTGGCTGCCCACCTTCTTCAAGGAGACCTTCCCCCATTCCAAGGTGGGTCACTTGCCCAGGGCCCACACAGCATCAGGAGAGCTGCAGAGCTGCCTGACCGGGAGTGTGGGAAGACCCCGTGGTCCCTGCATGCGGCTGCAGGAGTCCTCGGCTCGGTGGATTTTGATACCCTGTGGTCCCAAGCAGCGAGTGCTGGCTCTGAGGCCCTGAGCCCTTCTCCTCGCGATGCTGCAGATTTCCCTGCCCAAGATCTTGACCTGTTGCCCAGCAGAGCCTGGCCTTGGCCCGGCTGCTCCTCCCAGGCGGTGAGCCACCTCCTGGTTTTGGTGACCAGAATCCTCTGGGCTGCACATTCTTAGGGCAGAGGCTACCAGCTCTGGCCTTGCCTGGTCCCAATGTGGGGAGCAGGACGGGGAGTGACCTAGCACTCACCCAGGGGTAGGGGGTGATCCAGGTGGGCGTGGCCTGGCAGAGCCAGCCTCCCCAGTCCCCTCTGCCCTCAGGACAAGCCAGTGGATAGAGCTCCCAGAGCAGTAGTGGACCTGGGGTGGTTGTCCTGCCTGCGTTTCCTCCCCTCCAGGCTACCTCTGAGTCAAGCTCCTCCTTGCAGGGCTGGATCTTCAATGTGGTGCCCTGGCTGGCTGCAATTCCTGCCAGTTTATTCAGCGGGTTTCTCTCTGACCATCTTGTCAGTCAGGGTGAGTCCACAGGGCCATGCTATGATGGAGAGGGACCTTGCCCTGAGAGCCACCTCAGGGAGTGGCTAAGACCCTTCCTCCTCAGGCTCAGGCTCCCTGCTGAAGGGTGGGTGGACACAGTGAGAGGACGCTGGCCTTCAATGACCCTGGAGCTCTTTCCCGGGGTGGCTGTAGCCCCTGGCCCTCTGCAGGAGAGGAGAGGCTCACCGTCCTCAGGCCGAATGGCCCAGATTTGCTTGTGAGCTCCCTGAGCCCCAAAGAATGGTGTTCACGGGGCCGCCTTGAGCATACTACACTCTTCCAGCAGTACACGCGGCCCCCAGGGGGAAATTCTCTGAGCTGTGCTCATTCTCAGTGCCTTTTCCTCAACGCAATGGCACTGGGCAGGAACAGCACCACACACCTGTGATCCCAGCACTGAAGGAGGCTGAGGCCAAAGGATCCCACCTTGGCAAGTTAGGAAGACTCTGTCTTAAGATAGAAAACACAAATGGCTGGGGATGTGGCCCAGTGGTAGCGTGCCCCTGGGTTCCATTCCTAGGACCTAAAGAGAAAGGAAGAAAGACAACAAGAAAGAAGGAAGGGAGAAGAAAGAAAGAAAGAAAAGAGCGGGGAGGGAGGAATGAAGGAAGGAAGAGGGAAAAGCAATAGCATTCACTGCGGAAAAGTGGAAACCTTGAAGCCACAGAGAAAGCAGGATGCTGGCCTGGCGGTTGGCACCTTGGTGACCATGCCGAGTCTGTCCTCTACTTCCTGTCCAGGCTGTGGGCTCGGGAGTCCTGAAACACATACCTACTGGGTATGGAGCCCCTCCCCGTGGCAGCAGGGCAGACACCCCCGTCTTGAGTCTTGAGCATCACCCTGGGCCACCTGTCCCTCCTCTGCTGCCCCCTCTGCAGCTGTGCAGGTGGCACCTCCTTGGGGACACTGTCAGGGTTGGCCCAGTGGGCTGATGGGAACCCGCCCTGGGTCTGTCTCCCTGCTCAGGTTGCAGAGCCATCACTGTGCGGAAGTTCATGCAGGTAGGAGAGCACCATACCTATTTGCTCTGGACATCCCTGTTTCGTTGTGTCTCTTGGGTTATGTTCCCAAGTCACCTGATTTCAGAGACCAGACCAGGGCCAAAGTCGTGGGCTGAGAAAGCAGAGGTGCAGCAAGGAGCAGCCTCACAGCCTCACTGCCTCAGACCTGCTGATTCCCAGACATGGGCGGGGTCATCTCAGGGCCGGGCGCATCAAAGGTGGAGCTGTCCAGGCTGGTTTAGAGCACAGAGGGTTGCTGGGGTCAGTGGCAGCTGGCTGACTCTAGACCTCTCCCTGAGCTCGACCCGGGCTCCCTGTGCCCCATCTGGGTTTCAGGCTGAGATTATTGGGGTGCACCTTGTCTCCCCACCCCAGGGAGGCCCCAGCCCAGCAGCAGCTGCTCAGTGCATGCGGGTGCCCTGTGCCCTTCCTCAGCCCTCTCGCCCACAGGTGGTGGGCCTTGGCCTGTCCAGCCTTTTCACACTGTGTCTGGGTCACACATCTAGCTTCCTCAAGGCTGTGGTCTTTGCATCGGCCTCCATCGGCCTCCAGACCTTCAACCACAGGTAAAGGGCCCTGCCCCATCTGCCCACCTACCCTGTCAGATGCTCCCGGCCTTGGCGCACCCTGGCTCGGGGCAAGGACTGGCAGAGTCCCTGTGAGTGGCCATTCAGCCCAGCTGATATGAGTATCCAGCTGGCACAGCCCAGCCCTGTGTACCCAGAGCTCCCAGGGGAGGACAGGAGCGGGGTGGGGAGGGGATGCTCTGCTGGGGCCACACAGAGGCCCTGATTCCCAGGGCACAGCGAGGCAGGTGTCCACTTCTCTGAGTCTTGCCTGTGCCTGCACCTCCCAGCCTGAGTGCTAGCAGCTGCATCTGAACATCTCAGGGCTGATTTAGGATCAGCATGCAGGGTCCTTCCGATCAGCCAACAGGACATGGGCCTGAGGTTTGCACCTGTAATCACGCTCTCTCTGCCCGTGTGGTGAGGAGAGCTGGGTGGGGCACACACTGTGTCTGCCTGGTAACTGGCACCCCTCCCTCGCTCCGCCAGCTCCTTCACCGGGCCCCGCGGCCACTCACCAGCCCTCTCTCCTGTTTCTCATAGCGGGATCTCCGTTAACATCCAGGACCTGGCCCCCTCCTGTGCCGGCTTTCTGTTTGGTGAGGGTGCTGCTTACCCCAGCTGTGGTCAGTGGGGCTGCCCTGAGCGGGTGGGCAGTGAGAGCCGCAGTGGGCATTCTCTGATGTCCTCCCTCTGGCCTGTTCACAGGTGTGGCCAACACGGCAGGGGCCTTGGCAGGTGAGGGGCGGGCCTCCGTGCCCAGGGATCTCTGCTCTTGGGGTTGGATCCCACGGGAGACCTAGAGAAGGGCTGGCCCTCACCCCCGGCTCCTCCAGCCCTGCGGGTGAGGTGTGGCACATGGTGGCAGGGGAGGGCATGAGCCCTGGAGCTGGCCCAGAAGGCCACATAGCAGCCCATAGCTGCTGGCTGGGAGCCCTAGAGGGGACTCAGATCCAGTAGGTTAAGTGCTCTCTGAGTGCCTGGGTCCCAGGGCTCATTCTCCGCTCGGTCCCTCTCGTCGCCTGCCTGTTGCTGCCTTCCCTTTTGAGGGACACAGGGTGGAGAGTGACTGTCACCCCTCTGGGGGTGACTGTTGGTGGCCTATGAATTCCTTCCCTCTGAAGCCTGCAATTCAGAGCCTGGTCCTCCCTTGGCCCAGTGACTCAGATGCCTGAGTTCACCCTGGGTCCACAGGGTGCTGGGCCCACTTAGCCCAGATCTGCTCCTGCCCTGCCCGCAGCACTCACCTGCCTGTCTTTGGTCCAGGTGTGGTGGGTGTGTGTCTGAGCGGCTACTTGATTGAGGCCACGGGCTCCTGGACTTGTATGTTCACCCTGGTGGCCATCATCAGCAACCTGGGGCTGGGTGCCTTCCTGGTGTTTGGGCAGGCCCAGAGGGTGGACCTCAACCCTGCCCGCGAGGACCTCTAGCTCCTGGCTTGCCAGTCCTCAAGGTCCTGGTGCCCGCAGCTCCAGGCAGTGTGCTCCATTGAAGACTCAGTTAATTGCGACAAAGTTTAAGCAGAAGACAAAGACCAGGCAGCCAGATGGCTCCTAAGAGACCCAAACAGCTGGAGGAAGGGGCTGGGGAGATCAGTGCCCATGAAGGCCTGAATTGGGTCTGGGCTCATTGCTTCTCAGTCCTGCCCTCCTCAGAGTTGTGACCACAGCCTGCCGCTGGCTGCCTATGCGGACACATGCCCGTCCGTGCAAGAACCACAGCACAGGCTGAGCCTCTCCATCCCGTCCCCTTGGCCCAATGTCTCCAATGGGCGTTCTCCGAAGTGGAGGCTGTGTTCTGCATGGCAGGGCACATGGCAGGAGGCCAGTGACCCGACTTCCATACCAGGAGCACCCTCCTGCCTCCTCCCTCTATTCATGGCAATGAGAAAGGTCTGCTAACCTTGCCCAGTGTCGGGGGGCCTCGCCCATCCTCAGAACCATGGTGCTGAGCAGGGCTTGGTCCTGCTCCCCCGAAACCAGGCTGCCACCACAGGAGGGTGGGTGGGTGCAGTTTGTTTGCCCATGACCACCTCTGGAGACGTCCCTCAAAGCCTCTGTTTCCCCCCGTCCTGTGGACCCTCCACACTACAGACATGTCCTGGGTCTGCAGCCCTGGGCCCTCCTAGGCCCTGCCCGGACACCCTAGCTGTCAGGGAACATCAGCCCTTCCCTGGTGGTGCATCACACACCTCAGAACAAGGTGAATCCTTTCTGGCTTTATCCTTCCACCTCCCTTTTTACACTGTGAAGAGGAGTTGGTGATTTCATAAATTAGTAGGTTCTGCCAGTTCTATATGTATATATAGAGAAAAGAAACTAAAAAATATGGAAAGTCACACCAAAGCTTTAGTTAAATAACCATTAAACTATTTTAAAAGTAGTCTGCTATTTTTTACCACTTGAAAAAAACTGAGGATTTGCACTACATCCTCAGAACTTTTTTAATATTTTATTTTGTGACAAGTTCTCACTAAGTTGTCCAGGCTGAGCTTGAACTTGTGATCCTCCTGCCTTAGCCTCCCAGAATGCTAGGATGATAGGTTGAGATATCACGCCTAACTAACACTTTTGTTTTTTAAGAATAAATCTGTGTTCCGCCACCTGCCTGCGTGTGCAATTAGTGCCTCTGTCTTTCATCCACGACCAGCTGTGAGTCTCTGAATGTGAGAGGAAGTGCCCTCCTCCCAGGCTCTGAGCTGTCTGGGGTCTCAAGGCCCCTGAGGCCATGCAGGTTGCTCATGAGGGCAGGCCCTGCAGGATCCACTCGGGACCTCAGGCTCAGGTGTGCGCTGCTGGGTCTCGCAGAGCTGCTGGGCCCAGGCCTCTGGACCTGCATCTGTCATCTTTTATCAGCTCCTTGAAGAGCAAGGCTGGGAGAAGATTTTGGCAGGAATGGGGAACAGGGGAGGTGCACAGGGCCTAGTCTCCCCCCGCCGACACTCCTCCTGGACGGTCACCCTAGACCAGGGTCCTGCTGCGAGGTGCAGGTGGCAAAGAGGGGACAGCCCAGCCTCAGCCCTGGCAGGCCATGGTCTGTGCCTCTTGTTGCTGCAGACACTGACTCTGCCTTGTCCCACAGGCAGCCCGAGGAGGGAGAGGCACTTGCACTCAGGAGACCCCCCAGTCCGGAGTAGGACCCACCTACTGGGAGAGCCTGAGCCCCAAAGAGCGGCACCTTCACTGTTTGTTCAGCACTAGGTCCTGACCCGCTTACCCCAAGTCAGTCCCAGCTCCATGAGCGGCTCTGTGGCCATCTTGAGAATGGTGTAGGTGGCAGGACGTCCCCCTTTGAGGTGTGCACATGGTGAGGTGGGTCCTGTGAGGGCCAGGTCTGGCAGGATAGGACCCTTCTGTGCATCTGAGAGCTGGGCAGAGAGGGCAGCAAGGTGGCAGACGGCAGGGTTCCTGGGCTGAATTGGAGCCAAGCCTGCAGCCTTTGGGACAAGTGCTGAGAGGCAGCTTGGCCCACCTTCTGAGGCCACTGTAGGTCCATCGGGCCAGGATCCCCACCCTGTGCCATGCGCAGAGCTGACCAGGGCATTGTTGGGGAACCACCCTGCCTTCAGTGAGAGCTTCAGGGACAGATCCTCAGCTTCTTGGACCCAGTACCTGTAGCCCAAAGCTCTGATTTCTGGGACTGAGTTTTTAAAGCCCAGCAGTGGTTTCTTGAGCAACCAGCACTACACAGACAAATCCAGGGACGTGTTGGGACATCTCTCCTAGCAGGCCCAGGCTCCCAAAGACCCTCCTTCGTGCCTCCGTTCCCTGGGTGCAGGCGCTGTGTGAACAAGCACAGGTCTGAGTGTGCATCAACGGACACACACGCACACTCTGTGCTGGCAAGCACCTGTGAGGCCCATAACCTGCAGATATGGCCATTGTCATTCCACCCGAGGCCGACAGAGGGCGCCGGGAGACAGGGCTGTGTTCTCTGGGCTCTGAGCAGGCTGGATGTGCAGGTAGGATGCCAGCAGAGGGAAGGGCGTGGGTGAGGGCAGAGGAGCGTCCACTCTATTCAAGGGGTTGGGGGCAGGTGTGAGGCTGTGGATGCAGGCAGAGGCGTGGCCCTGGCCCTGGCCCCTGGTCCTTTCGGGCTGCAGTTGTGCAGGGTGGGGTGAGGGCTGTTTTGGGGCCTGATATGCAGCCAGAGGAGCCCTCCCCTTGGGGTCACTGCCGTGCCTCTCCTGTTGGCCAGCAGGCTGGACATGTGCTTCCTAACCATGCCTTAAAGAGAAGATGAGGAGGCATGAGCCAAGCTTCAGCAAGAAGTGTCCACTTGCTGAGGGCTTCTACCTGCTCCTTGTGAGCATGGATCCAGGCCTCCCACAGGCCACAGGGAGCAGGTGAGGGAGGGATCTCAGTGCAGGTCTCCTGGGGGAGCCAGGCCCCTCCAGGGTGGTGGCCTGAGAACTCAGCATCCACTGCCTTGCCGTGGCTTTGCAGTAGGATGACAGGGTTCACATGGCTTTTGTGACAGCCTGGATATTTGCTGTGAGGACATCTATGTGGAACAACAGGGGACTGAGCCTCTGGTCCTGCTGTGGTCCCTGCTCTGGCGGCTGGTGATTCCCAGTGTCCTTGGACATCTGGAGCTCAGGCTGCCCAGCTCGCCGGTGGGGCCCAAGGCCTGTTCTTAGGCTCCACGTACCCCCAGATAGGCCTCCCGAGTATCCTCACCCCCACTTCCAGCTCCTGTCCCCCTAAGAGACACCTTTCTGTCTTCTTCCAAGCAGAGTCTTAATGGCTGCTTCTGACTCATTCGTGTGTTAGTGACCCCTCCACCTCTCTGGGCCGCACCGTATCTGGGCCATTGTCCTTCAGCTGTTGGACAGCGATGTCCTGAGCCCCCCATTTGCTTTCTTGGGGCCTCCTAGACTTGGCCCCCTGGGTGGGCTGCCCCCTCACTTGGAACAATGCCGTTGGCTGTTGGGCCCCTTCGGAGCCCCCTTCGATGCCCTGTCCTGCTGTCTACTGGGGATGGACGAGGTAGGCTGTCCTCCCCCTTCCATGGCTCCTGCCAGACAGAGTGGGGAGGAAAGCTGCTCTGTGAGTTGGAAATTCACTTTTGACAGGGATTTTCTTTATTATGTTTAATTGAAAAGCGTTGAAGTTGGGGCATGAATATTCAGCGGTGGAGGCTGCTGGCACAAAGCCAGGTGCCTGTGATGGGGACACGCCCGGCAAGGGGCCTGTCCAAGGGGGAGCGGCGGCGGGGAAGCTATTAATTGAAATAGCTTCATTAATTAGTAATTAACAGCAGGGTAATGACTGTGTCACACGTCGTATTTCAGTGGATGCCCTTCATGTGTTATGGGGCCTTTAATTAAAGGACCTGCATTTTAATTAAAGGCAGGCTTGGCCCTTTGGCCTTTGGAATACAAAAGACGCTCCTGACTTTCAAAGAAGCTCATGGGGACCTGGTGGCTGTGAGGATCACAGGCCAGCATGGGAGGGGACCCCCCCAAGAGCCACAGAGAGGAGGCACGTTGGCGCCCACCTAGCCCACGGAGTACCCTGTGAGGTGGGGAGCGGGGAGCTGGGCCTAGAGGGAAGACAGAGAGCAAATGGGGCTGGTGCTGTCCCCAGGCCCTTTCCCTGTCCTGAGCAGATGACAGGAAGGCCGTGGGCATGACCCCGCCCTTCAACAGCAGGCGTGTGCTGCATCCTACCATCCTCAGGGAGAGGATCGGGTGCCACTCGAGTGACAGAGCAGGGGAAGACATCCCTCCCAGCCCCTGGCAGCTGTCCTGGCCCCCCCGGATCAGCCCCAGGGGGACCCCCTTGCTGGCCAGAGGGCTGAGCAGGGTGTGGGGTAGTGCTGGTCTGAGCATAGTCTGGCCAGAGGCCATACCCTAAAGAGTCCTCCATCACCCCATGTCCTCTGCTGTTTGCCCACTGCTGTTGCTTGGAGAGAATTTGACCAATGCTAACTTTGTTTTTGTTTTTGTTTTGGTATTGGAGATCGAACTCAGGACCTTACACTTTTGAGGAAGGCGGCAGCACCATTGAGCTAAATCCCTGGCCCAGACCAATGCCCACAAGCACTGTCCCACCTTTTTGAAGGCAGGCAACAGGATCTCAGTGTTGCTTTAGAAAAAAGCCTTCAACCTATAGCGTTAATACCGAGGTCATGCCAACTGAGATGCCATGGAGCACCAGAGAGACACGAGACATAAAATACAGCCTGTCCAATAAATTAGTTACTGCATTTAACATTGGTTACATCCTCCAATTCTGTGAGTGGCTCCTGTGCTTGGAGAAACTTCAGCCAGAACTCAGGCTAGAAATGTATTTTCCTTTGCTCACCTATGAAAAAGGGGGCCTGGGCCCCTCCCCAGTGTGGGTGCCACAGAAGCCAGGCACCCAACTACGGAGCCATTTATGACCATACAGATGGGCTGGCACCCCAGCAGCCCCACCTGGCTGCTCCTAGCAGGCGTTTCAGAGTTTTCCAGTCCCTTTTCATTCTATCACCTACTTTTAGAGCTGCCTGTATGTGTGCTTTCCATGGACGGAATCGGGAACCCTCACAAGGACACTGCCAGAGCTGTGGCAGGATGGGGTGGGCGCTATCACAGTCGACCCAGGCTTCTGGAGCAAACACCATGGAGGGGCATCAGGCAGCAAGTCCGTTCTCTCAGAGGTGGAGCTCTGGGGTCACGCATGGAGGGTTGGTTTCTCTCAAGGCCTCTGTTTGCCTTGCAGATCATGCATCCTCCCTGTTCCCTGACAGTCACCCTCCTGTGTGTCTGCGTTTCAGTTTCCTCTTCTCAGGAGGATATCCGTCAGACCGGATTAGGACCTACCCCATGAGCTTGTAACCCCGTGACCTCGTTTTAAACTCAGGACCTTGGTGAGAGCAATCTCTAGATGAGTTCACTCGGGTCCTGGAGGCCAGGTACCAGCAGTGGAGCGGGGACACAGTTGCCTCCTCTGGTAGAGCTCCCCAGTCTCCTGCCCTGTGCCCAGGGCCTGGAGAGCAGGAGGAGGCTGCCCTGGGGCCACAGAGGCAGTTTCCATGCTCCCTCAGCCCCTCAGGGCCAAAAGGGTGGTGGCTCCTGGTGGCTCGTAATTGAGACACCTTCCCCTTCAACCTGTGCAAAAGGCAGGAGGGGAATTTTCTGTCCCTTGGTCTCAACTGGGACAACCCCAGGAGCCATAGCAGCTCCAGAGCCCCCGAGGACCCCCGTGATCTCCACCTCAGTGCAGTTTGCAGAGACTCGGCCTAAGGCAGCACCCCAAACCCCAGTGCAGAGGGCTCCCCACAGCTTCTCAGAGTTCAGGAAAGACCTCTGCCATCTGTGTCTGTGACTCTGTATGCCTGGCCGGGGCCAGGGGACAGCAGCAGGGGACCTCGTGATGCCCAGCAAGCCCTGCTCCTTTGTTATCCTCAGGAAATGCACCCAGGGCCACGCGCTCACTGCATGACTAGACCCCAAAAGCCAAGTTGTGTAGCTGAGGATGTGGAGACACTGGTAATCCTCAGTATAAAATGGTTCAGTGCTGTGACCACAGAAAGCTTTCCGGCTGTTCCCTGAAAGGATAAACGTGTAATAAACGTGTAATTGCCACATGACCTAGCAAGCCCTCTTCTGTGTGTCTACCCCAGAGAAATGAAACAGATGTGTGCCGAAGTGTGCACCGCAGCACCGCTCACACAGCCCACGGGGACAGCCTGGCAGCCTCCTGTGGGTGAGAGGGATGCAGATATGTGATGGCTGTCCACCCGGGCAGTGGGCTATTATTTAGCCATGAAAAGAACAGAGTGTGGACCCACTCTGGCCCAGGTACGCCTGAGAGATGGTGCTCAGAGAGAGAAGTCAGGTGTAGACCACAGGCATAACGGTCCAGAACAGGAGGATCTGCAGAGACGGAAAGTGGGTTTTTGGCTGCCCCAGGCTGGGATAGGCAGAGGAGGGACTGCTGCATGGGGCGATGAAAGTGTTTGGACCTGGGTAGTTGTGGCGGCTGCACAACACTGCAGGGTAAGAAACACCATGGAGTCTATGTATTTCCTGCTGGGTGGACTTGGCTTCAACCATGGCAACTGCAATCTGCACCCTCCCTCAGCAGACCCAAGTGCAGAGCTGGCCCCCTCCCTGCGGCCCTCTGTCCCCGGCTTGGCCTGGTGTTGGGGAGCCAGGGACAAGCCCTGAGCAGCCCAGGCCCCCTCCTCCGTGGAGAAGCATCCAGGCTGGACACAGGTAGCATGGCTTCCTTCTTGTGGCTTGATGTGGCAGCGAGTGGCAGTGACTACAGGGGCCGCCAAGACCCCACTGCTGTGGTGCTCTGGGGTCCAGGATGCGTCCTGCCGCCCCTGGGCTTCTCCCCAGACGCCTCACACAGGGCTTCACGTTCCACGTTTCTGTGTGTAACTGGCTGAAATGGCTTTCACCAGGGTTGGGGATTGAACTCAGGACCTTGTGCTTGCTGGGCAGACGCTGTGTTGGGTTAATTTTTTTAAGTGACAAATTTACAGCAAAGCTTGGCTACTCAGTCCTTGTGTACATTGCCCATGATCCCGTCTGCTGTATTGAGACACATCCGGCTTCCCGGGCAGGCTCGGAAGCTCTGCTGTGTCCTACAGAATTCACCCTTCCAGCCCTCAGTGGACAATGAGAGGGCAGTGAGCGAGATCCCAGAGTTGACAGCCCAGAGTGTCTGAGGACAGCTGCAAGCTGGGCGGAGATCAATGTTCTGGGGCCGAGACAGCCATGGCAGCTCCTCTGGCCAAAGCAGGTCACTTGCCTCCATGGGCCAGGCTGTCTCCCTGTCCGCCCGGTGCAGTGGGTTGTGGCCATGGTGGCTGTGCTGTAATGGTGCCTCCTGGCCTCCTTCCAGATGTTCGGTTCCTATCGAGCAGATCTGGGCCATGAGCAGCCTTGGGCCAGTGTCCTTCCTGGCCATCTGCTGGGCCAGGCAGTGTCACGGGAGACAGATGGACACTCGACATCCTGAGAAAAGACCTCTCTCAGGTCTTGGGCTCCTTACTGTCTCCCCTTCCTGCTGCTGTGAGCCCACCCTGGGCCTGCGTGTCTGTGATGAGCTGTCTCACAGCTCTTGACGAGATTGGGGGGCCCCCCATGGGTAGAGAGCTTGTCCGTCCCCATCAGTGAGGCCCCAGTGCTGCAGAGGATCCCGGAACAGATGGCAGCAGGCACAGTCCGTGCCCGGCCCTGCAGGACTCGCCATGGCTGGACAGAGAACTATTTGCTTGAGAAGAGCCGGGGTCCCGGTACAGCTTCCCTCAGCGTCTGGTGGGTCCACTGAGGCAGGGCCCATGAGGCAGGATGAGTGTGCCCCCCAGGGGTCTTGCCAAGGAGGCTCTTGCTCTGGCGGCCGCACCTCCCCACTCACAAACCTGTCTTCATCCCTTGCAGGGAGCTGGTGTCTGTTTGCTTGCAGGCAAGATTCAAAGGAGTTTGAAGAATAAATGTTTTCCTAAGTTTTAGCTGACATTCAATTTTAATGACTTTCTAAACAAAGTAATGATGGGACGATGGGACGCGCATTGCTTTATGGTTTGCTGATGTCTGACAGGTGTTTTGCCCATGTGGAAAGCAGCTGCTGAAAGCATTTTCCTAATAGCTCATAAATAACAAGCACTTAGCATCTCCCTTTGTAGGTGGCGCTGCCAATGGCCAATTTGTTCCTCAGAAGTGGCCACGTCGGCCTGTCAGTCAGCTCTTGCCGTAGGCACTTTTTGGTGATTAGAAGCCCCTTGGAGAGCGAGAACTCCAAATTAGTTTTAAATAAAAAATAAGAATATTCATGCTGGTGAACATCTGAAGGTGAGGGAACAACAGAATCCAGCCTGGCAGCTCGGTCCGGGTGCTGCAGAAGGAGGGGCCTCAGGCCCAGGCCCACCAGGGGTCCCCGGGGACCAGGCACAGGCGGCACTACACAGAGTCACTGGAGTGGGTGACAAGCTCGGATCTTGCTGGGCCCAGAGGGAATGCGGGCAGTGCTGTGCCATCCTGAAACGCAGCGGCCACCGGAGAGCTGGCCGACACTGATGTAACTGGCAGGCTCCAGGCGGGAGCGTTTCATGTCATTGTGCCTCTGCAGGGACAGGAACGACCTCCCAAGGAGCAGGAAGCGAGCAGCGCCTGTCTTCTTGAGAGCAGAACAAATGTTCCCTTTGAAGAAGCTGAGGCTGGCAGTGCCAGGAGGAGCCGGCCCTCCTGGGTGGCCCGCTCCTGGGGCCTCCACCTCCGCCCGTCACCCTGGACCTGGGTGAGTCTCTGCTCCCCGTCGCCCCACCTTCAGATTGGGCGGTAACTGAAGCTCCTGAGGCTGCCTATCCTGCGCAGCTCGGAAGATGCAGGAACCAGCTGTGCCTGCTCCGGTGGGGCCATCGGGCCAAGGGAGGCTGGGGGCTCCTCCTGGGAGCGAGGAGGGTCCTGGAGGCAGACAGGCTGGGGAAGACAGGGAGGGCACACGGGCTTCGGCCCCGTTGTGCGGTGGCCAGGTGGCTGCAGGCCCGGGCCTGTGTCTCTCTGTCTGGGGAAGAACTCTGTGAGTGGCTGTCAGGTGGCATCGTCTTCAGGGAAGCCTCCAGATTTCCTGACCCTCATGGTTCTCTGGAAGGTTGTGGCAGGAGGGCTGAGGGTGGATTTGGGAGCTGTCGGCGGCCCTCCTCTCCCCCCAGAGACTGTGGGCCATGGCGCAGGCACGGGAGCAGCCAGTGGGCAGGGCTTGCAGGCTAAAGATGGGAAAAGGGGACAGGCCGAGAGAGGTGGCAACAGAGGTGGACGTGGAGGGAGGCGGGGAGCCTCGGGCGTAGAAACTTTGGTGTTGGCCGCTGGCTGGCAGGCACAATGCTCTGGGGGCCAGGCCAGCCTGTCTGGGATGGCAGCTGCAGGCACCCGCCTGGCAGTGGTCCAGCCCTGGTCTCCGCTAGCTGTGCTCCCTCCCCTTACCCCAGGAGGTCCTCAGCAGCCCCACCGCAGACCTACAACCACTCACTTTCCCTTTGAGCCCAGTATCTGTCCCTCAGGCGTGGCTGGAGTCCCCACACTGTGCCCCTGTGGCGTCCCTGCTGGCTTGGCCGTGGTGGTGGTGCCCGGACCTGGTCGCAGGCCCTCCCTCAGACCCTACCTAGGCTGTGGGTGTCAGGGCTGGAGCCTGGGGCAGACCATGTTCACACTGGACATAGGCCCTACCTCTCAGCCGCTCTATAGCCTGCCGTCCCGGCCCTGGCTGTTGCCTCTGTAGCATCCCTTCCTGGCTTCCCACTGAAATGCTGCCCACAGGGGAAGGCTCCACGTCACCACCCCTCATCCCGCACTGGCTCCTTAGCACATGGGGCAGGGCCCCTGAGTTGCTCCTGAAGGAGGTCTGGAACCCAGCAGTGGCCTCCCAGGTGACCAGGTGCTGCCTCTCGCCCAGTCCTCGAGGAGCACGGAGGCCTCTGACCTGTGGCCCAGGCCTTTGGTCTCCTCAGTGGGGTCGGCAGCTCCGGGTCAGTCGCTCAGGGTGGCTCATGCTGAACCAAGGCCTCTCCGCAGTCGGCTCCATCCCGCCTTCCTCAGCACGGGGCTGATAAAGCCCCAGAGAAGGTCAGGGTGGGCTGGTGCCTCTGCTAGGAAGAGGGCAGAGTCCAGGTGTCCCACTGGGAAGGGGGCAGGGTCCAGGAGGGCCGGCGCCCCTGTTGCCAATTAGCTGAAGCTTCTCCTGATGCAGATGGAAATTGTGAATCAGCAAAGTGCGACTCTGTCAGCTGTCCTGATGTCCCAGATGAGCCCAGGTGATGCTAGATGCCAACAGGCGACACAGCGAGCTGCTGGCCACTGCTTCCATGGACACCACCATCCAACACCAACTAGTGTTGGACACTGTAGGTTGACTATGCCGGGCGCCAGCTCTCTGCCACTGGTCTTCGTTGATTACTGGGAGCTCCTTGGTGTTAATAGCTCTGTTGTTTCTCTCCATCCACAATGCTCAGGGTGAAAATCCTCAGCAGACCTACAGGGCTTCTGGAGCCCTCACCACCTGGGAAATGAATCACAAGCAGGTTTACGGGACACCAAAGTGAGTCTTCACAGCAACAGGGCTGGGCTGCGGCACAGGGGTCCGCACGCAGGGGGCGCCCTCCTGAACTAAACCCAGGGAGGGCCCAGGAAGTGCTGCAGGGAGGAGGGGTGGTTGCTGCACCGCCTGCCATGTTGGAGTGCAGAAGGGTGGTTTGATAGCCAGGCAGGACACTGAGGCAAACTGCCCCAGTCCCTTTGGGTGCAAGCAAGAGTGAAGGAGGCCCAAGGGGAGCAGCAGACAGCCACTGGCCCAGCCACACCCCCTCCAGTTGGCAGGAGAAGCATGAGACAGGTGCTTCTCCTCTGTCCCCCTGGTGCACCACCAGGACATCTCTGAGCAACCCCTTCTCTGCCTGGATGCCACCGAGTCACCTCCTCCAGGAAGCCTTCCTGGTCCTCACACTGCTGTTTGGTTCCTGCTGTCTGCTGTCGACAGCCAGGCACTCGTGCCCTCACTGTGCCCTTAGTGGGCACATGCCATGCAGTGCCCTCTGCCCATCAGTTGGGTGAGGCCGCTGTAGTCAACACCAGCATTGTTTCTCCTTTGCAACTGCTGTTCTAAAAAATGTGATGGGATACACGTAGCCCAAGAGCTGTCACCTTAGCCCCTGGCAAGGCTGCACCTCAGTGCCGTGTTGTGCAGCCAGTACCACCACCCACTTCCGGAACCTTTTCTCCTTGCCGGAAGCAGACCTGGAGTCAAGCTGCAGTTGCTCCCAATCCCCTCTCCCCAAGGCATCTGGCAACCACTGATCTACTCTGTGCTGCTTATCCTGGACATGATGTAAAAGTGGAATCACACCGGGTATGGCCTCTGACTGGCTTCCTCCACTTGCTGCGTGGTTTTCGAGGTCCGTTGGTGCAGTAGCTCGAGCTTTAGTCCTCTGTGCGAGGGACTGTCATTTTCTTCTGGTTGGCTGGAGTTGGTGGCGAGCCCACATGCTGGACTGTGTGTGTAGCAGTGTAGCTGCAGGAATAGGAGCCCAAGTGTTTGTCTGAGTCCCTGTTTCCAGGTGGGGCTGCCTTGAATTCAGAAATTCTCCCTTGACCTTGGCTGCCAATGGCTTAGAGGGAAGTCCATCCTGATTCTGATGCAGCAAATTCTGACCTGGCCAGAGAGGAGCCTCTCTTACATGGACAGTGCGTGGCCATAGTGGTGCCCTGACCTCCCTCTCTGGTCGGGGGCCCCACTTGCCAGCACAGCACCTGCAGTGCTTTGCTAGAGCGGGAGAGTGCGCGTCAGCCGTGACAGCCCAAGTCTCCAGCTAAGCCCCTGCCGCACTACTAAATATTTTAGCAAAAGAAAAAATTTAAAAACGTGCGGCCAGATGTCCAAGTTGACAAAGTGCTTAAGGCGTTTGACTGATAAAAAGCCCGAGAGCCCCCAGTAGATGGGGATTGAATACTCGCCCGAGGCAAGTGTGCGATATTAAAAACATCCCGGGCTGCTTTGTGCGGTTCGGCTAGCAGAGGTTTGAAGCGACCTCCATCTGTCGTCGCCATGCGCCCTGACACTCAACAAAGCCGGATCGATCTTGGAGCAGCCGCAGCTGCTTTGCAGAGGGTCAAGTGGGATCCATGGCCGTGAGCTGGCAAGGCACAAAGGAGGGGGATGAATATGCATGAGATGGGTCTGCTGTTGGCCTGAGTTGTGTTTAGAGAGGGCCCCACAGGTGCCTCTGCACGGGTGGGATGCACTGACTTCGCTTTGCTCTCTGGAGAGTAACTGCTCCCTGGCAAGCTCTGTGGGGTCCTCTGAAGAACAGACCGGACTGCACGGAAGCCTCAGTTCTCTCCTGAGCAGAGGGGAGACGTGGGCCCAGGGCCTGTTTAAAGCCAGATTTCCCCCAGACTGCCAGACAGAGGGGAGAGAGCAGGGTCAGGGTGGGGTGAGCCTGGAGGGAGGCTGAGGTCCAGGAGAGGTAGCCAGGCGCAGGGACACCCAGACACATCTTGCAAAAGAAGAGCTGAAAACCAGGCAGGACCAGAAGTAATGTGTCAGGATCAGTAAAAAGTCTAAGTTCAGCTGCTTTGAAAATACAGAGGGTTGATTTTCAAAGCCCTGTATGAATGAGGCCACCTAGGGATTCCCAAGTATTGACGAAACTCCAAGACACAAATGCTAGTTCTCTGAGGTGTGACCATCCCCATATTCTTACACCATGCGTACCCAGCATGGTAATGACATCAATGACCATCTGCTGTGTCGCTTCCATGGGCACCACCCTCATCATCTCCCCTGACCCCAACACAGACCCTCAAGGCTAGGGAGGCATTTCCTGCCTTCCAGAGATCAGCGCAGGCTGGGTGGTGCTTCTGGCAGGGCCTGGCTGCTGCGACCCGCATAGCACAGGATCCAAAGCCGGGGAGAGGGGTGGAAGATAAAGAAAATTGAAGAATATCAAGAAAGACAGATACATACCAAGATTAAGCTTGAAAGCTGGGACTAGGTGGAACCATAGCCTGATGAGCTAATGGCTACCTGGAGTCCAGCCTGCCCCTTATTTATAGTGTAGGACAAACAAGAGATAAGGTTGGGTGTTGTGTTCAGGGCATGCGCAGAAAGGGAACAAGGAAGAAGGATACACATGTAACTGTCTCCTGTGTTAGGGAATCGATCATGTTAAAGTACGCTGTGACGCCGCCTCACAGGCTGCATTCTCCTGGTACCTCTTGGTTCCTAAAACGACCTCATGCCCTTATCTCTGGTTTCCCTCCCCCAAGGCCACAGCGGTCCAGAGAAGTTGAAACCTGTTTCTGCAGGGCTGGATCCATAAAAAGCAATCTGGCCTGTGATAGGTTAAAAGTAGCTTACTCCTCATAAATAAGCAATAGCTCAGCCCAAAACTGATAAAAGGACCTTCCTTTCTTTGTTCTTCTCTCCTTCTGCTTCTTCTTCCTCCTTCACTCTCTCTGCTCTCTCTCTCTCCTCCCACCCCTTGAATAAAATCTCCAGTCGGACCTCACAGTGTGTGAGTGTGTGGCCTACTTGTTGAGTATTCCCTTTCATCCTGGGGCTGTGCCGTCCAGGGTCTGTAGACTGCATCTGTTTGACTCTCTAGTCTATGGAGGAGAAAAGGGAGTAGGGATTAGGTGAAGGTCCATCTTCAGGCTTGGCCTGAGGCACCTGGCCACAGGTGAGTCCTGGCTCTGGCCTCCCCTGCTCCAGGAGAGGTGACTGCACATGTTTCCCCCTTGGTCGCTGCAAAGACCCAATTGACACATTTATCTCTGAGGTCTGGTGACCAAGCGAGGGTCTAGTGTGAATCCTGGAGCTGGCCGATGTGGGTGGACTCAGGCTGGCCCCTCTGCCCGCACAATCCCTGAGACAGCAGCCTCTGCCCACACTCACGCATGTGGAATGAATGCATCCTTCTCTCTTGACTGCACAAGGTGAACCCTAATAGACACGTAGACCGGGAGGCAAGGCAGCCCCTGCTCAGGTGAGGCCTTCAGGTTGATGCCCCTGGTGAGGTGCTCAGATAAGGTATTCAAGTGAGATGCTCAGGTGAGTCCACCTCTGTCCAGGTGAGGTGACACCAGGCCAGCACATAGGGCCTCAGGAGCACAGTGTTTCCCACAAATGCACCAGTCATGACACCATTCAGCCCAGTTCAGTCCAACAAACCCCTCTCACTGGTTCCTGCCCAGGAAGCAGGTGGGGCATCCACTCCCCCGAAGTCCCCTTCTTGAGGCACCTTGGTCATCTCATAGGAGCAGGTGCTGTGGAAGGGAGGACCACCCAACCCACATCCTGCTTTCTACTGGGCCTCATCAGGTCAGAGGATACCTCTCCTGGGCCTGGGCCTGACCAGCGGTGAGGAAATCTGGGCAGCCAGGCAGATGGAGGGCAGGAACCAGGGCCACAGCTCCACTGCAGTGGAGGAAGAGCTGTAGGCACAGTGTCGTACAGGTGGCAGGTGCAGGTGTGGAGGGGTGCAAGTGATGTGCGTGCAGACTGCAAGGGGGTAGAGGTGGCAGGGGTGCAGTTGGCTGAGTCATAGTGACAGTGGTCACCAGCACTGGCTAGTAGGTGACCTGCCCTGCAGGAGGGCAGCCCTCTGGTGTCATTCCCAGATGGGAAACTGATTTCCACTGGAGAAAATGTGTTCATGCCTCAAAAACAGGATTATATTTGCTGAACATACTGTGTAAATTGCTTCCCAGGAGCTTTATCTTATCAAGTGTTCTCTTGCTGAACACTGTGGGCCCGAGGTGGCAGGGTGCTCCAGCCCAGCCTAGGATCAGGGCCTTAAGACTCAACTTGCAGATGAGGACGCTGAGGCTCAGGGTGCTCAGCCCCTTTGTTCAGGTCTCTTGGTAATTAATTCAGACCCTGGTCCTAGCCTTGCCAGAGTTACCCCCAACTCCTGCTTATATCCTGCAATTCCTGCAGCCCAGGCCAGTGGGGTGGGGAGAGGAGGTTCTGCCTGGGGTCATGTTTGGGATCCCAGAATTTAAGGTCCTACAATTTTCCTCATGGACAGTCTCCTTCAGATGTTCTAACAGAGCCTCTGCTTTGTTTTAGAACAGTGAGAACTTAATGTAACTACCACACAGAAAATGTAATATTGCTACTTTTATATGGGATCCAGAATGGCTGTTCTTGTGATACAAAGTCATCACTATGATTAAGCCATTAAGCTAATTAACATGAGCATTTATTACTGCTGGCACAGACAGCAGGTCAGGGGATTGATGGAATGCTCAGGCAGGCACACCAGGGACAGAGGGAGTCAGTGGAGATGGTGGGGACCAGGGCACACCCTGCTGGGAGCTGTATAGTGCAACCACATCTGCTTAGTGTGCACCTCTTACGCATGGCCACAGCCCGGGAGCTGGGGGCATTGCTCTACTCCCCATAATGTGAGATCCAGCCCCATGAGAGCCAGGCAGGCTCCTGGGGGGCCCTGGAACTGAAGAGGAGGCTTAAGGTTGAGATGTACCCAGAGGACAGTGGTCACTGTCTGAGGAAGTCAGCAAACCCTGGAGATGGGATAATGGTTGGTCATGAAAGGATGGATGAAGGATATTCCACAGGAGATGACCCACTGGGAACTCACACCTAACTATGGATGACACCTAGTGGTTGACTTCAGACCCTGTAACTCTTTGGGGTGTGTGTGGTGGTGGTGGGAATATATCTGAATGATTTTCTTTAAATTGCTGTTAATAAATTATCCTGGTATGGTGTTTAAAATAGTCCCCATACTGACTTCTAGGAAAATGGTGGAGTGGTGAACAGCAGAGAAATGGCCTCTCTGAGATATGGTGTCCAGATGCTGGAATGTAGCAATGTAAGGAAGAGAAAAAAGAGGGAAGTGGGTCCCCAGGAGCCAGCAAGGATCTATTTTTCCCCCTAGCCTCTTTTAAGTTTTCTCCTCTGAGGGCAAAATTGCAATACTGAGGGCATATTTACTGTATTCAATTTTCCGGTTTATTTTAAATTTTGTTATATAACCACAAATCTAGTTCTGGTGTTTAAAGGTGACAAATTAATAGTTACCACAGTTTGTCATTTTCTAGGCTGTGTTTGATGTTATTGTTCTTGCTGATTGTACTGCTTTAGCCAAGGTGACATAACTGCTCTAATCAGTTGTTCTTCTTTTACATCAAGACTGAGATTGCCTAAGGGCCATAAACAATGCTATAGGCCAGTGCCAAGGAACTAGGGGTTAGGCCAAATGGGCAGCAACTCCTCATCCCCAATAAATTGAAGAGATAGGATCTTGCAACAAACTCAAAACCCAAAAGCCAGCTACACCTGGAAGACATCTTTGAGAAGTAGTCATATCCTAAGTGTTCTAAATACTAGCAATAATGCTACCTGCCAGACACAGTTTATAAGCATCAACCCAGGAATTAAACTTAGGGAAAAAAAAAAAAGAAAGAAAATGGGAAGACACTTAAGCAAGATACAACCCCAGGTCAGCAAAGGCAAAACCAGTAAGTCGATGAGGTGGAACAATTTGGAACTCACTTACCTGGACTCTCTGAAGTGTTAACAGCAGAAGTGACAAAGCAGATGAATGAGGCTCTAGAAAAAAATCAAATCAGAAATAGTTTCTCAGGTAACTACAATGATGACCATAATGAAAGACAACTCTAGAGCAGATACAGATTTTTTAAAAAAATAGAAGAGCTTAGGAAAATTATGGAAAACATGAACACCCGACACACGAAAGAAATGGAATCCATGAAACAGATTCAAAGAGCTATCCGGGAGATTAAAAAAAAAATACCACTGAAAGTATACAAAGCAGAATGAGCCAATGTGAGGACAGAATATCAGACACAGAAGACAGGATTGTGGTTAGTGATCATAAAAAGAAAGATCTCTTAAAAGTAGCAAGGAACTATGAAAAATCAATCCAACAGCTGCTAGATGGTACAAAGAAGAATAACATAAGATTAATCTGAGTCAATGAAAAAGCAGGAGCTAGCAAATGATATAAAAAACCTGTTCACAGAAGTAATGGCAGAAAATTTCTCAAGCAGGGAAAAAGAATTTGACATACAATGGGGAAAAATAAGAAATGAGGCAAGTCGTACAAAGGTACAAGTTCCCAATAATGAATGTAACTGTATTGTATACCTAAAATGTACCAATAAACTTAATAAAGATAAAAAAGAATTTGACATACAGATAAATGAGACATATAGAACTCCAATTATCCATGATCAAAGAAATCTATACCAAGGCATATAATAGTCAAGATTCCAGAATATTAAAAAACATTACAGAAGGGCCGGGGATTTAACTCAGTGGTTCAGTGGCCTGCCTTGCAAGCACAAGGACCTGAGTTTAAACCCCGTTACAAAAAAAAAATAGGGAAAAGAAAAAATTTACCTATAAAGGTAAGCCCATCAGAATCATGGCAGACTTTTCAAAAGAAACCCTCAAGTCAACGAAAGCTTAAAGTGAAGTATTTCAAGCCCTAAAAGAAAACAACCTCCAACCCAGATTGAGGTACCCTGCAAAAGTATCTTTCAAAATTGATGGAAAATAAGAAATTTCCATGATAAAGAAAACCTGGAGAAATTCATGACCACCAAACAAACACTTCAAAATGTTCTGAGAGACATTCTAGAGAGAGATAGGAAGGATTACAATTCCATGAACCCCAAGAGAATGAAGGCAAGACAAGAAATTAGAGGGGGGAAAAAGAAACCAACAATAGGGAAACAACATGAGAAGGCCATACTTCCAAAATTGGTATACAGATTTAATGTGATCTTAAGCAAAATGCCTACAGCAAACCTCAAAGGACTGGAGAAAACAATCCTAAGATTCATTTGGGATCAGAAGAGACCCAGAGCAGCAAAAGAATTCTGGGCCACAAAGGCAAGGCAGGGAGCATCACAATCCTCAACTTGAAATTATCCTACAAAGCTACTGTGATAAAAACATCATGGCACTGGCAAAAAAAAAAAAAAAATCCAAAAACTAAAACAAAAAACAGACCTGAGAATCACTGGACCAGATCAGATGATGTAGAAACAACACCAAACACACTCAGTCACCTGGCCTTTGACAAAAGAGCCAAACATCTTCGCTGGAAGAAAGATACCCGCTTCAATAAATGGTGCTGGAAAAACTGTTTTTCCATATGCCAAAGATTAAAACTAGACCCATATCTTCCACCATGCA